GCGCGCGCGCGCGCGCACATATGGGATTGAACTCAGGGACACTTTAACTGCTGATCTACATTCCTAGATTTTTTGTTTTTTATTTTGAGACACGGTCTCACTAACCTGCCTAGGCTGACCTTGAATTTGTAATCCTCCTGCCTCAACCTCCCAAGTTGCTGGGTTGACAGGTGTGCCCCACAGCCCCCAACTTAACAGACATCTATAAGATGTCTAAATGTATAACATTTCCCTAGTGGACACATGGGGATTTCTTTGGTATATATACTTAAAGTGGAACTTTGAATCAGAATAAAATGCTTACCTAAAATTGGACTAAGTGTCATTAGATTCTTCCTGGAAGGCTACCTCCCTCTCAGAGGAAGATCCTGGTGTCTGACACAATCATCATGTTTAGATTCTTTTTAAAGAAGAATACAGAATTAGGTACAAAAGTGGATAAATGTATTTAGAATAAAATGAGAATTCACAAGGTATTACTGGGCTCTCCTTAGGTAGTCTCCCTGAAATGCTTTCTTGCTAGAGGCTTCTGGCTGCAATCTGGTTCCTCTCCCTACTTAGAGCATTCTTAAACTCCCAGCAACGGAGGAGCCCTGAACCCTCATGAGAGTCACAGTCCACGCAGCTCTGATCCACACTCCACCAGCGGCATCTGACTATTCTTAGAATAATGTCATTTGACGTTATTACCAAATATTTGACAGTTTTCACATTTCCAAAGTGGGCCAGTCTAGATCCATTCTGACACCTGAGTTTGTGTCATTCCTGAGTTAACAATCGTTTGTATATTTTTTTAGTTTCTTTTTAAAAATTTATATATGACAGCACAATGCATTACAATTCTTATGACACATATAGAGCACAGTTTTTCATATCTCTGGTTGTATACAAAGTATACTCACACCAATTCGTGTCTTCATTTATGTACTCTGGATAATAATAATCATCACGTTCCACCATCATTTCCAACCCCATGCCCCCTCTCTTCCCCTCTCACCCCTCTGACCTATCTAGAGTTCGTCTATTCCTTCCATGTTCCCTCTCCCTACCCCACTAAGAATCAGCCTCCTTATATCCAAGAAAACATTCAGTATTTGATTATTTGGGATTGGCTAACTTCACTTAGCATTATCTTCTCCAGTGCCATCCATTTACCTGCAAATGCCATGATTTTATTCTCTTTTATCACTGAGTAATATTCCATTGTGTATGGTTTGTACATTTTTAAGTAGTTGAAAAACCTAAGAAGAATAATAGCTAATGATATGCATAAATTATATGAAATTCAAATTTCACTGTCTATTACTCAAGTTTTATTGGGATGAATTCACAGCCTTTTGTTTACACACCGTCTACAGCTGCTTTGGTGCCACTACTGCACAGGTGAGTAGCTAAGATAAACAATATGGTCTGCAAACCCTGAAGCATGTCGTTGGGCCTTGACAAAAAAAAAAAAAAAATTGGTTGACCTTCAGTCTACAACATTAATTTTTCTTGGAGACATAAATCTTACTCCATGTCAGGAAGAAGGTATTTCTCTTGGTAGCATGTCTTGGAAATGATAGACATTGCCATTATTTTGCTAAAAGGCACTCGACTCTTTTCCGATCTCTCTGCCAGCCTTAGGTAGTAGCTAGCCATTACCACATAATACTACATTTCACTCCCAAACTCAGAGGCTTAAAATAGTGATCCTTTACTGTCACTCAGTGTCAGCAGGTAGCAGGGGTTTGGCTGGCTTGCTCTTTGAGGCTGGCTTGGCCAGGGCAGCTCTCTCTCTCTCTCTGTGTCAATCTGTGGGCCACTGGAGAGGCTCTGCCCCATGCATCCTCTTCAGACACGGGCTTCTCTCACATTGACCGCAGAGGCACAGAAGGGCTAGTGAGAACATCACTTGTTAGCGGCTGGGCTCAGAACTAATGTCCCTTGGGCCCTCTGGTGGGCAAAGCAGGTCATATGCAAAGACTCCAGTAAAAGGATAGTGAAATACATTCCTCCCGGGATGTGGATTCAAGTGTGACTGAAAAATTGGGGTCAACGTTGCAATCCACTGTACGTGCACTTAGAAATATTGCGGTTGTCGTGTTGGTTTTCTTGCCATCAGAGAGGATGCTACTTGTTCCTATTAAACATGCTCTGTTAAAGGCAAGGCTGTGGCTTTCTTGTTCATCGCATTCAGTGAATGCTGACAGTCTCTTTTCCATTGGTGACAGCCCCAGAGCTATCAAGGAACTTTCCTTTGCTTCTGTCTTTTATATCCTTACAATGAGCCACCAATATATGGGACAGCTAAAGATGTCCACTTTACTGAAAAGAACCCAAGGCACACAGAAGTCTCACTTCTTTTCAGTCTTACTTGGTGTTTCTCTCTTCATTAATCAGAATCAATTAATAATGAACACATTTGGGCCAGGAGCTGTGGTGCACGGTTGTAATCCCAGCAGCTCTAGAGGCTGAGGCAGGAGGATCAAGGGTTCAAAGCCAGCCTCAGCAAAAGTGAGGCTCTAAGCAACTCAGTGAGACCCTGTCTCTAAATAAAATATAAAATAGAGCTAGGGATATGGCTCTGTGTTCGAGTGGCCCTGAGTTCAATCCCTGGTACCCAAAAGAACGAAACCATTTGTGCCCTTCTCCTTCTTCTGAGCTGTATTATAAAACTCTTCAGAGGCTAAGTTGCCCTCTCGTTAACCTCCCTCCCTCTCTCCTGGCCTGCCCACCCAGTGTGATTGATCGCTTGCCTGGCCGTCTGGTCTCTAATGACTGTTCCTTTTTTTGGTTCACTGATCATGGATCTCCACCCTCTTCAGGGCAATAAATACCAGCCTGGACTGCCCAGGATGGAGACTTCTGCTTGCTCTGCAGTCTATAAGCTTCTATCCCTTCTGCAGCTCCTGCCACTCATGCAGCTCCTCTTCCTGTTTCTGACGGTCATGGTGCTCCTGGCCCAGGGTGCCCGAGGTAACTAGGCTCTCTCCCAGGGGTGTGTGTGTCTGGGGACCTGATGCATGTTCAGGGAACCTTGGGGGTTCTGACGGCTGAGGCCGGGAGCATGGTCTGGCAGGCTCCGTGGAGGCTGTTGGATAGTCTTAAGGGAAGTTTTAGTTCTTAGCACCAAATATTTTTCCATCTCTCATTATTTGACCCCTCTGACCACCTTTCTCTGATTGGCTCTGAATAAGTTGAACTTGATGACCCAGGGATACGGTTGGGGTCAAAGGGAGAGACATAGGTATGGAGTATAGAGATCGTGGTGGCTTTCCCAAAACATTCTTTCAGAGGATCTGAATTTTGATCTACTCTTGTCTCCACGAACAACATTCTAAGTTGTTGTCTCCTAAATTCTAAGTATTTGAAGATTCTGATTCTACTTTTTCATGCAGGTCCAAATTGTCGGGGCTATTTTAGGTTATTGGTTTCTCCCCAAAGTGGTTCCCAATTCTCTTGACTGGTTAAGGCCAGTGAGAAGTCCCAGGATGTTGTAGAGAAGGGAGTGAGAAATTCTCTGGAGTTTTATGGATGTCAGAGAGGACACTGGGTTCATCTCAGATTCCTGCCCCTTTTCATTAGTACAACCAGCGGAGGTGCCAAAGGGCAGGGGGTGACTGTGGCTGTTTGATATTAGTAACTGGGAATCGTACAATATGGGGGAGATTAAACCCCAGAGAAAAGGGGTCCTCTTGCCTCTCCCAAGGGAGCTGTCCAAGGAGGGGAAGCCTGAGTGGAAAGGGACTGGAGAGGACAGAGTGGAGAAGTGACGGACAGGGATCTATGATCTCATTTAAACCTTGGTATTTTCATATGGGCTTCTACCCCACAGATCTTATTTCTCTTGTTACAGGGGACAGATGAGGCAAGACACCAGGGACAGGAATCAGGTTTATTTGGCTATAGCCAGGTTCAGAGGGCAAAGCTTTCGCTGTAATCAATAAATCCCCCCAAACCCCGAGTTCAGGCAGTTTTAGAACTTTATACCCGGCTTGTAGGTGGAGGGGCTCAGAAGTTCACAGTCTGCAGAAGTTCACACAAAAGCAGCTTTTTCTTTCGCTATTCTGGGCAAGTTAACCCTTCAAGGTCAGCACCAGAGAGGGAGAGAGCTACTTCTCCCCTTTCTTTCCTCCCACTGCCAGCTGTTACCACGGAGCCCAATTGGCAACCTCTTCTCTTCTCTTTGAAATGTAAACATCTCCGAAGCTCAGGTCCAAGGTCAGAGGCCTAGTTAAAAGAATCTGTTTTTCCTATCACTCTCTGCGTTTGCAAATACACTTCTGCAAACTACTACACTAGGAAAGGGGCCTTCAGCCCCTGGGTGCTGATCTCTTCCAGGATGGCGGCCAAGTAAGACAGAGAGACAGGAAATAAGTTTAACTACACTGAACTCTTTTGTAGAGACCCTTGGGCTGATAGTCTGAAGATCAATTATAGTGAAGGTTTCTGGAGAAGCTCCGTGAAGATTTTCTGCGGAGGAGCGGGTGCCGCTACACTCTCAGTGCTCTTTCCTATCCTGGAATTTAGCTTCTCCCTCTCCAACCCTTGCTTTCTTCAGGTCTAACCCTGCTCCCTCTCTCCCTTTGGCTTTCAGTCAAGAAGTGTTGGAGTACATTTGGCAGGTGCAGAGAGAACTGTAAAGACAGTGAAGTATTCTATTTATTGTGCAAAGAAGAGGGTAAGTGCTGTGTGCACCCCAAGTATGTCCGATTTAAACCGAAGACCTTAAAGAACCAGTTGGGAACCAAAAATTAACTTCTGCAACTGACTCTCTTCCGAACTTGAGTCTCAGGAGCATTGGAAACCACACTTCTATTAAATCATTCATGGCTGTTCCCTGTTTCTGACTGACAGTTCTGTCTAGTTCAACTTGGAGACGGAGAAGGAAAATGTGTGTGTGTGTTGGAAAGAACAGGATGAAGCAGTACGTGGTAATAGTCTTATCCTTTGGCAATAATTCCCAACCTGCCAGCCCCTAGTTGGTCCACAGGATATTAATAAGGAATATTCATCCTATTCATTTAATTCTTTTTTTTTCTTCTAGACTAACACCCATAGAACCTTCTAGATGATGAAAATGTTCCAGGTTTGGTTGTCCAATATGATAGCTACTAGTCAGCTGCATGTAGCTGCTGAACACTTGAAATATGGTAGTGTGACTGGGGGACTGGATTTTTAAGTTAATTTAATGTAATCTATGTTTAAATATAGAGCTGCATGTGGTTAGAGTCTAGAGACGTTAGGCTGAGGCAGGCTGTAGACCCCAATCCCTGGGTATTTCAGAGGAGTCAAAGAGGCAAGCAAGAATCCAGGGTGAACACAAAACTAATTTAAAAAATATTTATTTTTTAGCTATAGGTGGAGACAATGTCTTCATTTTATTTTTATGTGGTGCTGAGGATCGAGCCCAGAGCCTCTCACAAGGTAGGCAGGCGCTCTACCTCTGAGCCCCAGCCCCAGCCCCAGAACTCATTCTTGGCCCACTGCTTCTCTCTGCTTCTCCTGATCATATGGGCAATTCGTCCCTCCAGGGACTCCAGAATCCTGCCTCCGACACATCTCCTCACCCTAGAGGGAGCGGGGACCAGGTCCTGGCTCCATCTTTTTTTTTTTTCCCCTCTAATTGGGTCACCAGACACTGGACCATAGGATAGTTCCTTTCCAGGATTGATCCTGAACTGAAAAAAAATAGGAATTTGGCCCCTTTTCACCCCATGATCTGGGTCATCATGGCCCCAGTATCTCCAACCTTTATCAGACCAACCAGAAAGAACTGGATTCCTCACCGTGGGCCGGGAAGTTTCATCCTGAACGCCTCTCTTCCTCCTATCCAGCCCTCTGGTATGAGATCTTTTTGAGCCTTACTGTTCGGCTCTGGCACCCCCTGCCCGCCTCTGGAAGCTGCCGAGGGGAGGGTGTTAAGTTCAGGATTAGAAGATCTGGCTTTAAATCCTCTCGTGATCACGTGTCAGCTGCAGGACCCTGGGTGAGCCACCTAACCCTATCTGCTTTATTTTTTTCATCTCCAAGCTGGGGGCCTGTTCTAGTCAAGGCCTGAGGCTTTAAGGAGAGAGCAGATAGGAAAATGCCCAGCTTAGAATCTCGTGTACATTTTCTCTTCCTCCTCCTTTTCCTCCTCCTCCTCCATCTTCTTGTTTTACTGGGGATTGAACCCAAGGACATTTTACCACTAAATGACATCCTCAATCCCTTTTATTTTGAGACAGGGGCTTACTAAGTTGCTGAGGCTGGCCTCAAACTTGCGATCCTCCTGCTTTAGCCTCTGACTTGTTGGGATTTCAGGCGTGCACCACTGCATCCAGCTACCTATGGTTGTTGATAAATGCAAATTGAATCTAGGTTGATCTCATCCCCCAATTTTATCATTTCAGGCCCTGCCTAGCAGTTCTCTGCCTGTAAAAAATTAGGATCCTCCTTCCCATTTTGCTTCCAACTCTTAATTTCCACAGTCAATCCCTCTTAGAATTGATCTGAGGCCCCCCGACCCCATACTTTCCCTCCAATTATCTCACCCTCCTGACTCCATTTTGCCCCACCCGGCTTCCGTATCACAATCTGCTTTGTGGCCTCTCTCTCCCCTCTCTGCATGGTGTCAATCTCAAATTCCTAACCATGAAAGAATAGCCCTCCTTGCCTTCAAGTTGAGGGCCTCAACTCTGCCCGACCCATCTCCTGCTTCTCCTTAAGCTTCATTTCTCACTCTCTGAAATGGCTACTCTATGATTTTCCCCTCGTCTCAATCTTCTATCACTCTCCCTCTAAAATGTCACTCTCAAGAGTATAGAAACCACCAGAAGCAAATGCATATTCTCTTTACTAAGCCTATGCTCCCCTGCATCTATCTGTCTGTAACTCTTGTCTTGCTTTTGTTTCCAACTAAAGAACGTCCATCCTGAGAAACAAGCCCACACCCCATCTCCCCTTCCTACTCCAGGACCTCTGTTGAATCCCAACACAAAGAAAAGATCACCGACTCCAATGTTAAATCAAATTAAAGCAAGCTTGTATTTGTGTACACAAAGGCTGGCCCGCGACTGTCTCACCCGAAATCCTGGGCTAGAGATGGGTCCCCCAGCTTTCCAGGGACAGGGCTTTATAGCACAAAAAGTTGCCAAGGAGGGTGTCTTGAGAACTTACAGATAACAGGATTTTGACAAGCACAATACAAAGGCAGATCACAGGTTAATGATGTACATGGCTTGATAGTTCAAGGTGGGGAGTAAATTCAGATCCCAGCATCAGAATTTATGAGGTGCCACTGAGGTTTCAGAGAGGGTTGTTATCTGGTCACAGGGAGCCAGGCACCGGTGAGTTCAAGGCACAGGCAGGAATTCCAAACAAGTTCAGAAATCACAGTAATTTACAGTAAAACAGAAATTAACTTTTCATGACTTTGTGACGAGATGGCTCCCAATCTTAAAATGGAATTAGGCTGGGTCCACCACTTCACCTTCTATGATCCTCTTCATTTTTCTCTTCTGTGCCAGACCATTTCACTCATCCCAAAAAACAAAAAAATGAATACCCTCTTCCCCGCTTTAATACATCTCCCAATTCCACATTTCTCCCTGGACAGAGCCTCACTTCTTTGTAGATCTTCAAAGAAAACCTTAAAAGGTGTGTCATTGCTTTATCCATTTTAAATTTCTCACTTGTTTCTTCAGCTTGACCCAGCTGGGTTTCATGTGACACTGAAAGTTCTTCCATGAAGCTTCCCAGCCGTCTCCAGCATTGCCAATCTCAGAAGGGTCCCTTGATTCTGAACAAGTACTTGATGTGTGGACCACGATATCCTCATTCAAATGCTTTCTTTTTTTAAAAAAAATATTTATTTTTTAGTTTTAGGTGGACACAATATCTTTATTTTATTTTTATGTGGTGCTGAGAATCGAGCCCAGTGCCTCATGCATGCTAGGCAAGCGCTCTACCACTTGAGCCACATCCCCAGCCCCTGAAATGCTTTCTTCTGTTGAATTCTAAGGTACTACATCCTCCCTTTTGACATGTGGCTATTGCTTTTTAGCCTTCCCTTCCCAAATGCCAGGCCTTGTTTATATGTCTTTTCTTTTCTCTGCCTGTTACTTTTTTTTTTTTTT